GTCAGGAGGTGCCCCCCGAAGGGTTGAGGGGGATAGCCCTGCGGGGCTCTGGATTTGCCCACCCACTCTTGCTCATGTTGGTGCGAGATTGCATTCATATGGCTCAGCCGACCCCGCAGCTGTGGCTGGAAGTGCGGGAGGCAGGGGGGCGCCCTTGCGTCCTGCTGGACGTGGTGAGGGTGCAGCTCCGCTCAGCGTCCTTCTGTGCCTGCTGCTGTCTTTGGGCTTTGCCGGCAGTTTGAGGTGCCACCTCCTCTCTCGCTGTTGATGGACCTGAGCCCCTTCAGCGGGGTTTGCAGAAGGAAGCTGTGGTCTCGTCTTCCCGTTCACTCGCCTGTGTCTTCCGGGGGGAGGGCCAACATCGAGCGTGTTTTCATCACGGTCAGGAGTGAGCAGAGGAGAGGGGGAGCCAGAGCCCCCTGAAACCCCTCCTCAGACACACTTGCCTGCCCGTGTCCCATGGAGAACGAGGTAGGTGTCGGCCCTGCGGGGCAGCCGGTAAGGATGATGGCCCCCGACCCCTGCTTCGGGGAGGGGGGAGGAGGGCTCCTGCCGGCTTCCGGGTCTGTGAAGTGGTGGCTGGCCGCTGATGGGGAGCGATGAGGAGGGGCCATCGTCTTAACTCAAGGGGCGGGAGGCCTCCGGTGTCCCGTGTGTGGGGACAGTGGTCGGCTGGGACCCAGGAAAGGGCGAAGAAAAAGCAAATGCACACTGGCATGGCCAGAAGCTTGCACACTACGGCCACGGGCGGCCTGCGTGCCTGCAGCCATGGGGAGCCTTGCCGTGGGGCGTCCTGCCATGGGGACCCAGGCCCAGGGGAGGCCTGAGGGCACCGGCCGGGTCCTGTTGGCAGGAACTTACTACCGAAGGTGGTTTAGGAAGCTTACCTTTTGGGGTGCCTGGCTGGCTCATTCAGAAGAGCGGGTGACCCTTGGTGTCAGGGTCGAGTTCAAGCCCCACGCTGGGGCTTAAAAATACAATCTTAAAAAAAAAAAGACAAGCAGTGCTGTAGCACAGGTGTGCAACAAAGGTGCTCTGGTAAGGTGGGCTCTCCGCCGGGAGACACCGCGGCCACACTGGGTGCCTGCTCGGTCCCCGACTTCAGGTGTTGTTTCAAGATGGAAAAGATCTAACAATATGGTAAGGGTCTCGGGATCGTTACCCAGCCAGTCCGGAAAGTTCCACACAGTCACAGAAGGCTTAGGCCCAGGAGGCCCCCAGGCTGCGCCCAGTGCTGGCTCCGTTCCTGTGGGGGAATCGTCCTTGGCTTGTGCTCCTCCTGGGGCTGCGCTGGTCCTTTTGGCTTTCAGGGCCAGGGCGGTGAGAGCACTTAGGTGGTGAGCGTGAGCATGGGCGTCCCGGCAGGACACGTGAGTGGAGAATGAGGACGTGGTGGCCAAAACTGCTTTCAGAACTTGACGTCTTGATCTGGAGAATATTCCACGGAGCTAGAGGGTCTGATCGTGTGTGGGAGCCCTGCTCCTGTGTGCCAGAACATTCTGGATTTTCTCTGTGTGTGTTTGTGTGTGTGTGTTTGGAGAGTGAGCAGAGGAGGGGCAGAAAGAGAGGGAGAGAATCCCAAATAGGTTCCATGCTGTCAGCCCAGAGCCCGACGCAGGGTTTGAACTCGTGAACCACAAGATCATGACCTGAGCTAAAATCAAGAGTCAGACGCTTAATCGACTGAGCCACCCAGAGGCCCCTCTCCATGTGTTTTTTTAACCAGAACTTGACTTTATGTTTTCATGTTTATCATTTATTTTTTAATTTTTTTAAATGTTTTATTTATTTCTGAGAGAGAGAGAGAGAGAGAGACAACGTGAACAGGGGAGGAGCAGAGAGAGAGGGAGACACAGAATCTGAAGTAGGCTCCAGGCTCTGAGCTGTCAGCACAGAGCCCGAGGCAAGACTTGAGGCCATGAACCATGAGATCATGACCTGAGCTGAAGCTGGACGCTTAACTGACTGAGCCACCCAGGCGCCGCATACATTTTCATGTTTAAAAGCAACATCAGTTCCAAAACCCTGAGTGCTCTCCTGGTAGTGGTGTGTCTGGAGAAGCAGAGGGGCCCCGCGGTCCCTGTGGGAGCCGCCGCCAGTGCTGCGGTGATGTGGGTGAGGTGGTGGCAAGAAGGGGCAGGTTTGCTACGATCTGTGTCTTCGCACAGTGATTTCAGTGTTCCACTTTCTCGACAGGCTAGTCCGCCAGTTATGGTTACCGGAGACGTTAACCAAAAAAAAGCATGTGGTGCCCGGGGCACCAAGGCTCAGAGCTGAGGCCGGGAAAGCTGTGCTGTCCCCATATGTTCCCAGGGCTCGCGGCCAAGGGCTGGTATAGGGCTGTTGCGGGCCTGCGCCTGGTGGCTGGGGTGAGCCTCTGAACGCAGAGCAGTCGGCTCTCAAGCACATGGTTGAGGCACCAGGCCAGTGATTTTCATTATGGAGATAATGCCTGGTTACCTGCTCCAGGCTGATTCCCCTGCCTGACTCCGCACTTTTGACATAGGAATTGTGTCATTTACTCGCGGGGCCTCCCCCTTGCCTGGCTGGCGTGGGCACCGAGCCATCACCGGCCAGCACTTCCTGTTCCCTCGGCGCTGGAGTCCTGTGCGGGGTTCTAGGAGGTACAGCTAGAGGCAGACGGCATGGGGCTCAGTGGAGGGGTGGTGGCCCCTGGGCAGTAGGAAGTGGGCTGGCTGGTTTCCTCCATGTGCTGGGGCCAGACAGATGCTGTTTATTGGCCCGCAGAGGGTCTGTCCGGAGAGCGGGCTGCAGGGTGAGGCCCTGGGGTCCCTCACAGCACACACTGCAACTTTCTGACCTGTGTCTCCACTTGAAAATAGTACTGCAGGTTGCATGTGATCAGTGCACCTGGTGATTCGGCCTGGGCTTCGTGGCGAAAGGCTGACCTTGGCAAACCTCTCCTCTGAGGTCAGTTCCCGTTGTCCCCAGGTGCTGCAGTTGGTCGTGACCCAGGAGCGTGCGTTCTTTGGGGCTGCCAGATGCGGATGGTGTGGGGGCAGACATCTGCGTCTGTGAAGGTTGTAGGTTTTGAGAAGGCCAATGTTTTTGTGTGCTGCCTCAGTTTCCTTGCAGCCCTGTGGCAGTGTGCACCTGTCACAGGGCCCAGGAGGCGCTCTGTGTTCAGAAGCCAGTGATCAGGAAGGGCCCTGATGACAGGGATATGGGCCAGAGAGGGAGCCACAGTCCAGCGTGGCCTGCCTGGGGTGGGGCTGGTGGGACATGGCGTTCACTCTCCTGAAGTTCCTGGGTTATTTTTAACTTGAAGTTTACTGTCCGTGTCAGGCCGATTGGGGGTGACCATTTCCTACCGTTCCTCGCATGAGCTGCCCACAGTGCCTACCTGCTCCGATGCTCCCAGGCTTTCACCTAGAGCACCCCCCTCTTGGCCACTCCCCAAAGTTGTGTGGGGCTGAAATCCCCCCAGGGACCGGCAGGCATCCCTTCTCCGTTTGTCCATGTGCCTGTGATGGCCACGTTATGGTGACTCTGGACATCCTGTCTCAGCCGAATCACGAGCAGCTACAGGCAGGAACTGTTCTCATCCTTACGTAAGATACTTAGTGAGATGGAAGGTTAGAAATATAGAGAGTAGAGAGACAAGTATGTGAATCTCCACGTGGACATCATCCAGCTCCCGGGGTAACCCTGTGGCCTCCTTCCTTATTCCACTCACCCCTGACAAGAGCACTAAGGAGCCCCATGGAGGGGGCATGGGGAGTGGGAGCAGGGGAGTGCTCCAGGGGTAGGAGGAGGTGCTCCAGGGCAGGGGAAAGGGTGCTCAGGGCAGGAGGTTGTGCTCTAGGGTGGGAGGGATACTCCAGGGCAGGGAGGTGGTATCCAGGACAGGGAGGGAGGTGGTGCTCCAGGGCAGGGGGGGTGAGGTCACGTAGCAGAATGTGCTGGTGGGTGCAGGGTATGCTGAGAGACACCGAGGCCTCCCCTGCCTTTGCTGGCGGGGGGGGGGGGGGGGGGCAGTCACTGCACCTCTTCATCTCTGCCGGGGAGGCTGACGCACTAGTGAGGAGCTTCACAGCTTCAGAGCTCATGACGATGACTTGTGTTGGATTCGGCCTATGGCTGCATCCTGTGCACCGAGGACATAGAGGCAAGAGCTTGTGAGGAATGTTCCATGGCGCTGGCATCTAGTCGTTTCTGTAAGTGTGGTCCAGGAGGGGCCTGTGGTCCTGGCTGCATTTGGGCGCCAGGCTGTGTAGGCTGGCGGGCTGCCTTCTCGGGCTGATGGGACGCTGCTTCCCAGAGAGGCTGTGCACTGGCTTTCTCTGGTGTGCGTTCCTTCGGGCTGGACACAGTGTGCCTCGGTGTCCATCTGTGACACGACTGTGTGTGAACCTCTGTGCCCTGGGGGGCGAGGGGCTCTCTTGCAGAGTCACAAGGAAGGGACCCAGGCCTATTCTTGGGGCTCCCAGGTCAGGCTGACTTGTTGGCCCTGCTCCCCCCATTCATGCTCTGTGGGGTGACTTTGGTTGTAGGACTGGGCCACAGGGGAGACCCCGATTTGGCATGTGGGTTTCCCTGTGCTGGTCGGCACCTGGGGCCAGTGAGGCCCGGGACCAAGGAAGGGAATGTAGAGCACATGCATCAAGAAGAGGCGGCCAGGCACTGATGCTTGGGGCCCTGGGGTGAAGTGACCCAGTGGTACCAGGGGGTTGGGTAGCTCTACACTCCTGTCTTCCGGGGGGTCCTCTCCCCCTTCCCGCCTCTTCTTTGCCAGGAGGTCGCCTGGACATGGCCCCTTGTCCTTCAGGGTGTCTGTGAGTGTGTGAGGGACGGGGCTCCATGCATCCGTGATGTGTGATGCGTCATGCGTCCATGATGTGTGAGGGACTGCCCCCCACCCTGGTGTGTGTTCCAGGCCTGCGAGGGGACTGTGCTGGTGGCTTCAGCTTGTTAGCCGTGGGAGCAGTGCAAAGCCTTCGTGAGTAACAAACTCCTATTCTTGCCATTTTTGCCTGCAGCCCGGGATTGTGTCGCCGTTTAAGCGAGTATTCCTTAAGGGTGAAAAGAGTAGAGATAAGAAAGCCCACGAGAAGGTGACAGAGAGGCGCCCTCTGCACACGGTGGCGCTGTCCCTGCCTGAGCGCGTGGAGCCTGACAGACTGCTGAGCGACTACATTGAGAAGGAGGTGAAGGTAAGTCCGGCCGTAGGACGTGCCTCTGCCCAGTGCTCACGCCGCGCTCCTCCACCCGTGGTCCCACCTGCGCTGCCTGTGGCGACTGTGCCCACGCTTCAGCTTCCTGCCTTCAGCCCCATTTCCAGCTCTTTCCACAGGAGCAGCTGCCTCCTTTCCCTCAAGGGTGGGTGTGCATGCGTGTGTGTTCTGAGTGTTGTGGTCATGGCCTGAATCCTGTCAAATCTCGTGCTCACTGGCGTGGACATGAACCAGGGAGAGGGGCCGTGCCCTCGAGGTCAGGGAGGTGGAGAGGGGGCTCTACCAGGGTCGTGGCCCCCATGCTTGTAGAGGGAGTGCAGTGCACCTAGTTACCCTGCTGTCACTGCCCTGAAGGGATACTCAGTGGTCCAGCCTGACCCCTGGGTCGAGAAGGGCTTGGGGCAGTGTCCCTGGAGGGGGTTCCTCTCTCACCAGGCCATCAGGTGACCAGAGATGTGGGTGGCATCCCTGGCAGAGACGTGGGACTGGGTAGGCTCAGACGTGGGGATGCCTGGCACGGAGGAGGGTTGCGGCGACCCAGAGTGAGGACCGGGGGTCAAGCCAGCCTGCGTATGGAGCGGAGGTTGTGTCCCCGCGGCCTGCTGACCCAGGTTACTGCCCCGCCACCCATGTGAAAGGCTTCTGTCAGGGGCACTGAAGTTCATGCGCATTTAAGGAAAGGTGGCCTCAAGATGGAGCCCACAACAGGCACAAGTGAACATGGATGTGACAGCAGCCGTGCAGAACATGGGAAAGCAGAATGTTCTGGAAGAGATAAAAGAAGATACTGTGAATTGTGAGGTGACAGGATCCACTTTTAAATAAAGGGCTGGAGACAAGAGCCTTTGGAACAAAACATATGTCAGTGTGCATCCTGTGAATGAGAATCAGGAGAGGCACTGAGAAATAATAGGAAGATGAAGAGAGAGGAGCTTTGTCAACGAGAAACAGAAAGGGAGCAAAAGGAGATGATAAGTTGATCCAGAGGCCCAGCAGGTGTGGTGGAGGAGAGGCAGCCTCCAGACCATGATGCAGGACCTGTCACAGCTGCCAGTGTGACTTCGAGGGATGCAGGGGCCTCGCTGGCAGGCACACAGCATGAGGGTGGAGATGTGGACCTGGAGGCTGGGTTCCAGCCCAGGAAGGAAGCCAGGCTGCAGCGAGAGTGTGAGGACCGGCCGAGGCAGCACCAGGAGAAGGGACAGGCTGGTTTATGTGTTTGGTGTGGGGGGAGCTGGGGAAGAACCCGGAAGAGTGGGAGCTGCCTGTGGAGGGCACAGAGGTGCTGGGGAAGGTGGCCTGCGTTAAACTAACCCACGAAGAGGAAAGGTTGGGGATTTCTGCTGCAGGAAGGTGAGCTGCACACACCTGTCCCTCTTACCACCCACAACTGAAGTCCTGAGCATCCTATGTGCAGCAGCCATAAGAAGGCTCTGCAAGGTGGACAGAGGGCAGAGCGGCAGGGGCTTGTGGGTCAACAGGAGGCCCCCAGTGTCTCTCTCTCCTCATGTATCCGGGCTTGGAGCTGAAGAGGCTTGCTTCACAGGTGCCGACACACCCCAACAGAAGCTGCTTCCTCTGGGCCAAAGGCCAGGAAGGCAATGGTGTAAGGGGACATATGATGTTTAAGAACAAACACGATGGGAAAGCCTGAGGCCTGGGTTCTGTCCCCGATGCCAGCCAAGGCTGAGTGGGGGCCAGCACCCTTCCCAGGGGCAGCAACTTTCTCCCTGGATGAACCCAGGGGAGCCAGAGAACCTGCCATGCCCAGTGGAAAGAGGAGCACCCTCTATGGCTGCACTTCCCAGCATGGGCGTGGTCAAAGTCCTGGAGGGAGGGGCCGAGGAGCGCACCTCCCAGTGAGGGCATGGGCGGAGTCCCAGAGGGAGGGGCTGAGAAGCTGTTCAGGGCAGAAGACCTACATAGAGATTTGAGAAGCTGAGCAGAGCACAAGCCATCACACAGACACGTGACCAGGAAACTTCTGAAGAGCAGGGATGGAGAGGACCGTGTTATCCACAGGGAGAACTGGGGTGGAGGAGGCAGTGAGAGGCAGGGACAGCAGCTACAGTCCTGGTCCCGGGGTCAAGAGTGGAAAAGACAATGGCTACAGGTAGATTGGCTCCTCGAGCCCCCACCACATGCAGCAGGAAGATGGGGCAGTTTGAATTGCGCTGCAGCAACTGACCTCACTCGGCATCCCATCTGGAACCTTCCATCCAGGCCTCCATCCCTGGAGGGTTCTCTCCAACGTTTAGAGAATCGACAGTGGTTCCACACGGTGTGTCTCCTAGAAAGAAAGAAGGGGTGAACTCCCTTTGTGAAGGGACACGGGGCTAGCTCTCAGTTTCCGAGGGAACCACAGCCTGAGCGCTGTACCTGCACACGAGACATTGCTCGGAACGGGCAGGGCCAGGTGACACAACCCTGTTCCCGGGCCACACGCCAGGGCTGACTTGGCTCCCTCGCGGGACGGTGCCTTATGGGGCCGCAGAGCCTGCCGCTGTGACGGGGACTGCTGTGCCCTGGCCTGTTCCTGGATATGTGAGCCGAGCTGGGGCACTGGGCTTTCATCAGTTGTGCACCAGTGATCGCAAGGCAGTTGGATGAGCTGAGGGGAGCCCCGCATATCTGTACTGGGGTCCTGTGGCTCTGTGGTAAGACGATGACCATGCTCGGGAATGGGATGTTTGCCCAATGAGCAGCTGCCAGCCCGTGCCGCGCGAGGCTCATCTCTCACAGAGAAGTCTGTCCGGTTCACTTGTGCAGGCCACCACATACCACACACCAGCGGTTTCCCAGGGGCTGGGCACGAGGTGGAGCCCAGTGTCCCTGTAGGTCCTGGAGGGCAACACGCATCTCTGCGTTTGCCAGCGGCAGTGACTTGTTCCTGCTTTGGAACCTTGGCCAGGGATGGCTGCGGGATGAATTTCAGGGGCTTTCGCGTGGCCATTTGCACGCCAGCAGATCCTGGTGCTCCCATGGCACAAGGGATGTGGGTCTGGACCGCGAGGATGTGCCGTGTGTGCAACCGGGCCTGGCCCCTGCGCATTGTCCCAGATCTGCCTTTCCAGAGCTGCGAAGGGTTTCCCGGTGCCCCCGGTTCCCCAGCATGCGGCGTGTCTGCTTGTGCTGAGGGTGCCTTCTCCAGGGTCGCACCTCTCCTCCAGCCCCCTTCTGGCCCGGAGGCTGGGTAACATCCCCATGTGGTCCTTGTCCTTGTCTGTGTGCTGTGCGTGTGGTGAGGCAGGCAATGCCCGGGCTTCATAGCCCCCGCTGCTCAGGCCACCGTCTGGCTCTGCTCCCCAGGTCCTGTTGTCCCCTGTCTCATCACCTGCACCTTCACGGAGCCCCTCATGGTGTCACTGCCTCTGTTCCAGCGCATCCTCCAGCATGGGGCATCTGCCTAGCCTTCCCAAGGAGTGGGGGGAGCAGCAGCGGGGGTGTCCTTCTTACACTGGGGGCCCCATCCCTCACAGCCGCGGCATAACATCCCCTGCATTCAGTGTGGGCCTCACTCTAGCTGAGCTGTCAACAGCTGGACCAGCAGCGCCCGTGCTGAGGGGAGAGCCCCGCAGACCAGCCGCCCTGTCGGCGCTCAGTTCCCAGTTGTGTCCTGTTGAGATCTGACCCAGGCCAGACCCCGAGGAGGGTGAAGGGTCATGAAACATGCCCCTCCCATTTGCAGTCTAAGTGTCGTTGCCAGGCAAGGGGTGTGTGTGCACGTGTGTGTGTGTGTGTGTGTGTGTGTGTGTGTGTGTGTGTGTGTCGGGGGTCATATGTCTGCTGACAAGTGGGAACGGGCCACTTCTGCAGGCCCCGGTGTTGAGAAGACATTTAGGTCCCCACATACGCCGCCCTGTGTCCCCATCCCTGTTTTCCCTGCACTCCTGCCAGGCTTCACCTGCTGTGGGATCTCGCTGATCGAGGCCACCGATGGGTGGACGTCATCAGGAGGCCAGCCTGGGGTCAGTGGAAAAACAGACTTCCGCTGTGTGTCATCGGCAGGGATGTTTGGAAGCACTCTCTGTGTTTGGAGATGGGGTATGCACTCGCCAGCACGCTACCGCGGTCCCTATCAGCGTGGCGGGAAGGCAGTGGGGTCTGTGGTGCCTGAGATGGCCCCTCGCTGGTGCCAGGGCCACTGAGCACATGTGAAGGAAGGCTGGTCAGGTAGCTCCTCGGTCTGTTATGCTGCATCACCTTGACCCCTCTGTGATGGCGCCCTGGGCGTGGGCCAGCTGCTCAGCCTGCGGTGGGAAAGGCATGGTGAGAGATGGGCCTCAGGCACCCTGTGTCCCATCTGGGATTGTGATGAGGACGCGACCTGCGATCTTCCTATACTGGCTGTGCTGTTTTATCAAGACATGCTTGATGATGAAGAAGATGTCGAATGAATGAGAACTCACCCGTGAAGAACGTGGAATCCTCTTTGGAGATCCGCTGTCCTGAGTCTGAAGTTTGAGGCGCTAAGAGGAAGGGAGGGGACAGGTGGCATTGTACCCCTGGCCACAGGGAGGCAGGGCAGTCCCTGTGCTGTCTTGGACATGCAGAACCGGGGCATGTTTGCTTCAGCAAAGCACCGAAGCTGGGAGTGATAGTTAATACCGAGTATTGCGTTGATTGTGATTTAAGACCTTTCTAGCAAATGAAGTGACTGAGTAAAGCTACTGAAGTCATTTTTCATTGTGGTAAAATATACACGACAAAATTTATCACATTAGCCACATTCGTGCACTTCGATGACATGAAGGACACTCACATTTATGTGCCGTCCCCACCACCATCTGTGTCCGGAACATTCTCATCTCCCCGAACTAAAGCTCTGTCCCCATGAGACCCCAGGCCCCCAGCTCCTGGCACCCCCTACTCTGCTCTGGGACCTCGACCTGTGGACTCACACGGTGTGTGTCCCTGTGTCTGGCTCATTCTCCCCAGCGTCCCGTCCCCCAGTTGTGGCTGTGGGGGTGTGAGTGTCAGAGTTTCTTCTCATGGCTGGATGCTCTCCGGCGTGTATACACACATCTTACTTGCCCTTCATCTGGCAGGGCAGTGGGTGGTTTCCACCTCCTCTGACTGTTGTGAATAGTGCTGCTGTGAACTTGGGGAGGAGTATCTGTTCAAGTGTCTGCGTTGGCCCCTTTGTGTTAAAACGCACGTAACGAGTTCTCCCAGCTCAGCCGTCTATAAGTACATGGTTCAGAGGATTGAGTGCGTCCACGCTGCTCCTCAGCCGCCACCACTGCCGCCCGGCTCCGGCACTGTCCCCTTGTAAACCCGAAGCTCTCCCCCTGCCCCTGGCCCCTGGGAGCCCCCATTGTACCTTCCATCTCCGTGGTTCTGACCTCTCCAAGCGCCTCGCCTAAGTGGCATCCCACGGTGTTTGTCTTTTTGTGACTGGCTTATGTCACCCGGCGTAATGTCCTCATGGTATGTCCATAATCTACCTTATGGCAGGGTTTCCTTCCTTTTTTCTTCTTTTAAATTTTATGTTTTTGAGAGAGAGAGAGAACTAGCAGGGGAGGGACAGAAAGAGAGGGGGACAGAGAATCTCAAGCAGGCTTTGCACTGTCAGCACAGAGTCTGACACGGGGCTCGAACTCACAAAACTGTGAGATCATGACCGAGCCAAAAACAAAAGTCGGATGCTAACTGACTAAGCCCCCAGGTCCCCCAGGGTACCCTTCCTTTTTAAGGCTAAGTCACATTCCATTGCGCAGATGGACCCCCGTTTGATCGATCAGCTGTGCATCCATGGACAGACCCCGCGTTGCTTCTATCCTATGGCTTTTGTGAGGAGTGCTGCTGTGAACATGGGTGTGCACATGTCTCTCTGTCATGAGCGTAGGTGTGCACGTGTCACTTTGAGGTCCTGCTTTCCAGTCTTGTGGGTGTAGACCCAGAAGTGGAATACGGCGATTCGATTTTTCATTTCTCAAGGAGCCAACACACGGTTTTCCCCAGCGGCTGTGTCATTTCCCCTTCCCGCCAACAGTGCACGGGTCTCCGGTTTCCACATGTCCTCGCCAGCATGGCCTTTGCTGTCTGGATGGGAGCCATCCAAATGGGCGTGTGCACTGGTGTCTGGCTGTGGCTTTGGTTCACATTTCCATGCTCAACGGTGCTCTTATGTGTGCGTTGTCCTTCTGTACATTTTCTTTGGAAAAATATCTGTTTAAGTCCTTTGTTTTTTAATTGAGCTGTTTAGTTTTTGGTTGCTGAGTTGTAGGAGTTCTTTATAGATAGACTCTGAGTATTTGATGGAGACTAATTGCTCTGTTTTCTTTTATTTCCCGTGCTTTTGGTGTCATATCCGAGAAATCATTACCAAATCCAGCACCATGAAGCTTTTTCTCTGTTTTCTTCTAAGACTTACTGCTTTGGGTCTTGCATTTAGGTGTTTTATCCATTTGAATTAATTTTTGCGTGTGGTGTGAGGTAAGGATCTGACTTCATTCTTCTCTGTGTGGGACTCTAGTGCCATTTGTTGAAATGACTGTGCTTTCTCCATTGATGGCCTTTGCCGCCTTGTCGAAGATCAGCTGACTGCAGATGTGAGTGTTCATTTCTGGACTCTGTTCTGTTCCCTCAGTCCGTGAGTCTGTCCTTACGCCCGTACCACATCGTTTGGTTATTGTAGCATTATAGTGGATTTTGAAATCAGGAAGCATGAGAATAGAAGAAATTTAATACTGATAATGTAGATAAGCATGTGTGTTTGACTTCTGTGCGTAAATAAGGAGCAGATGGAGAGGCATTGGCTAACTGCAGATCTGTGAAAATATTCTAGAATCTTCATTGATTAGAAGTGAAGTGTGAGCCCGTGATTACACGTGCTCTTTCAGAGGGAGAGTCCCAGCCCTAGAGAGAGTGGGAACCAGCATACATTTTAGTTTTATTCCCTCTCCTCCACCCTCAACTTAGAGAAGATGAAATAGAAAACTAAAAAAAATTTTTTAATGTTTACTTTTTGAGAGAGAGAGAGAGAGAGAGAGAGACTGAGTGCCAGTGGGACAGGGCAGAGAGAGAGAGGGAGACACAATCCAAAGCAGGCTCTGGTCTCTGAGCTGTCAGCACAGAGCCCGACGTGGGGCTTGAACCCACCAACTGAGATCATGAACTGAGCCGAAGTTGGACACTTAACCTACTGAGCCGCCCAGGCGCCCCTAGAACTTTTTAGCACGAGCATGTGTCTCCCTGCAGAGCTGCAGCACCCGTGGACAGCTGTGGAAAGCAGCGTTTCTGAAGTTTAGTCTGCTTGACTTGTGCTGCTATGTCCGGTGTGCACTTCTGCCGTGTTCCTCCTCTGTATGAGCAGTGATCACCTGGCACAGCACAGGGGGACCAACTTGGGCCACCATGTTTCCCTTGCTTGCACTCGGTCATCTTCAGAGTGACCTGCCTGCTTGGTTCCCCAGTCGGAGAGGGCTCAGCAAATAAACACAGTTTGATTTCTTTCCCAATATGTACCTTCTGTTTCCTTTTCTTGTCTCTTTGCATTAGCTAGGACTTCGATACAGTGTTGGAAAGCAGTGGTGAGAAGTGACATCTTGTCTTATTCCTGATGTTAAGTGATGTTCAAGCATGTCACCATTAATGATGGTGGTAGCTGTAGGTTTTTTGTGCACACTCTGTATCAATTTGAGGAGATTTCTTTCTGTTCCTCCTTTGATGAGTGTTTTTTGTCATGAATGGGTATTAGATGTTGCCAAATGCTTTTTCTGCAACTATTGATATGATCGTATGATTTTCTGTTTTAGTCTGTTGATGTGTGATGGATTACATTGGTTTATTTCTCAATTTTTAATCAGCCTTGCCTACCTTGGATAAATGCCACTTAGTCATTGTAATTATTTTTATACCTTGTTGGATTCCATTTGCTAATATTTCATTGCAGATTTTTGCATTTCTGTTTATGAGAAATACTGATGTGTAGTTTTTCCTTTCTTGTAGGATCTTTGATTTTGATACTAGGGTAATGCCACCACATAGAATGGGTTAGGAAATGTTTCCTCTGGTTTTATTTTCCAGAAGAGATTATAGAGAATTGTATAATTTCTCCCTTCAGTGTGTGGTACGTACGATTCACACATGAACCTGTCTGGGCCTGATGCTTTCTGTTTTGGGAGGTTTTAAACTGTTGATTCAATTTCTGTAACAGATCTATTATGCCTGTTCAGATTATCCATTTCTTTTTCTGTGAATTTTGATAGTTGGGTCTTGCAAAGAATTTCATTATGATTTGAGAACATACTGCGTACGGTTTCCAGTATTTTACATTTGTTAAGGTGTATTTTATGGCCCGGAATGTGCTGTCCCTTGGTGAATGTTCACGTGAGCCTGAGAAGAATGCGCTCTCCAGCTGTTGGTTGAAGTCGTCTGTAGATACAGTTGTATCCTGTTGATCGAGGGTGTTGAGTTCACCTGCGTCCTTGCTGATTTTTCTGCCCGCTGAAGAAAAATCTGAGTCTTTCCGCTTCTGATAGGAGTGTTGAAGTCTCCAGTTGTAACCATTAAATCCCTCCAATTCTGTTTGTCGGAGACAGTTTTTATTTCCCCTTTGCTTCAAGGAGAGGCTCCCCAGATACAGAAGTGCAGGTTGATGGGATTCTTCAAACACTTCAGTGTTCCTTTCCTCTCCTGCTTGCCTGGTTTCTGAAGAAAAGTCTGATGCCATTCTTACCCCTGTTCCTCCGTAGAGATGGGGCTTTTTTCATGTGGCTTCCTTCAAGTTCTTCTCTTTGTCTTTTTATTTTTTACAGTGTAAACGTGAAATGCCTCGGTGTAGGGTTTTCCATTTTTCTCTTTTCCCTCTTTCTTCTGCTTTGGTGTTCTTTGGGCTTTCCGAGTCTGTGGTTTAGTGTGGGTCGTTATGGTTTCAGGTATTTCTTATTATTTCTTCTTCCTTCTCTTCTTTTCTTGGTGGTCCCGTGACACATATGGTGCGCCTCCTGTCATTTTCTTGCCGTGTTTCAATATCCTGTTCTGTCTTCATGCTTTTTCTGTGCTTTCTGGTTGACCTGTCTCCACACTCACTGATGCATCCCTTGACCGTGTCCAGCCTACAGATACATCCATCAAAGCCACTCTTCAGTCTTCATTCTGTCATGGTGATTTTGATCATTGGTGTTTCCCATTGATCCATGTTTAGGATTTCCATCTTTCTGTTTATGTCACCCATGATGCATGATGTCTGCTTTTTCTCTCAGAGTCCTTAGTGTATTGATCACGCTGCTTAGAGCTTTGGGTCTAATAGTTCCTGGGAACAGCCCTGTCATAATCTGCATCCGGTTCTGACGCTCACCCTGTCCGTCCAAACAGTGTTTTTGCGTCTTAACGTGCCCTGTAACTTTTTGTTGAAAGCTGGACAAGATGTATCAGGTAAAAGGAACAGAGTTAAACAGGTCTTGCATGTGAGGTTGTGCGTTGATCTGGCTGGAGGCCGATGTGTGGGGGCGGGGTCCACTCTCATGGTTAGTCTGCCTCTGTCCCCCATGAGCCTATGCCCCCTGGCTGCCAAGGGCACACCTGCCCCTCACTTTGCTTCCCCTTCTGGAGAGAAGGCTGGGGGCCAGAGTCAGGGGTTTCTGTCCCTGGTGGTGCAGGTGCTGGGAAACGAGTTCTCCTTGTGGGAGGGCCCTTGTGACAAAGAACAGAATGCTCTGCTCACAGTGTGGGATGGCAGGACGTGTGGGAGCGTCTTCTCCACCAGTGGTTTCCCCGGGAACTCAGAGCTTACCAGGCGGCGGGCCTGGTGTCAGCAGACAGGGGCCGGGCTGTGCCCTCGGCACACCCTTGGCTGATCTTCCCTTCCTCGCTTTCTCTCAGTACTTAGGTCAATTAACGTCCATACCAGGATACCTGAATCCCTCCAGTAGGACCGAGATCCTGCATTTCATAGACAATGCAAAGGTAACCCCATCCTCCCGACCCTAATCTCTAACCCTGCCTCTGCTCCAGCCCTTCACTCTGACGTCTGACGCTCCCACCCTGATACCAGCCCTTGGTCCTCTGACAGTGGGCCTTCATGGCCCCGTCCTGTCATGTAATGGGTGCGCTTGGCCCTTGGCCATAAAGACTGTTCCTGTCTGAACATGACCTTAATTCTTCCTTGTGGTCTCGGGCTGTTTCCAGAACTCCTGTTTCACAGATGTGTAAAGCACGTGCCATAGGCCGAACCAAGGTGGCTCCAGGCATGGCTCTGCTGGAGGGCGAATGCCAGCCTTCGCACAGGCGGGGCTCCCGGGCACGGCCGGGCCTGCGCCTCTGATGTTCTGGTCCCTTCCAGAGAGCCCACCAGCTCCCCGGACACCTGACCCAGGAACATGACGCTGTGATCAGCCTGTCTGCCTACAACGTCAAGCTGGCCTGGCGGGACGGGGAAGACACCATCCTCAGGGTCCCCATCCACGACATCGCCGCTGTGTCCTATGTGCGGGACGACGCCTCGCACCTGGTGGTCCTGAAGACAGGTATGGACCTGGGAGGCGGGGCCGGTGGATCCTCATTGGGAATAGCTGCCGTGGCCTGGTCCCTGGGAGCCGGTCTGAGAACCTGCTGGAGCCCTGCAGGCAGCAACTCCAGTGTCGGGTCAGCCACGCCGGGCCACTGCACCCAGGAACTGGCCCTCTGGCCTCTGAGGTCAGCCTCGGCCAGAGGAGGTCAGGGACCCGGGGAGGGGTGGGGGCAGGAGGAATAGGTGAGCCGGCCCCTCTCACTGTGGGGCCCGCGGGTGTCTGGTGTGGCCCCCCTGGGACGCCAGAGTGTCCTCTAGGTGTGTGGGTGCGGTGCAGCCGCAAAGCGCACCTCAGCTCGGCCCCCTCCCCGCCAACCTTTGGGCCCTGCCTTTGGCTATGGCTTCACAAAGCTGGGTGCGAAGGTGACACCAGACTGTCCATGAGGCCTTCTGTGTGTGTCCTTGGAGGAGAGTTGGGAGGACCCTAAAACCAGGCCCCCCCGACCTGCACCTGGTCCACCACTCCCCTGGGGTTGGAGCTCTCCCGACGGGCCCCCCATCAGGTGCCATGGCCGCTGCCTGGTCCCCAGTCCCTGGGACACAAGGAGAGAAATTACAGCTTTGCTTGAGCTCCTCTCGTTGCTCAGGGCCGGGTGCGGCCCTCAAGCCATTCATTTCTAGCAGGCCTGGGGGCAGGGCCTGGGGGGGGGCCAGGGGGATCCACCCGGAGCACACGTAGGGCAGTGTGGGTGGAACGTTTTTCTGCCAGAGGATGGCAGTTCGTGGGGCATCTGAGAGACTCTCTCAAGAGGCCGGGCCCAGGGGAGGCTTCTTACACATGCCCCTGAGCTGCCCTGGGAGTGACAGCCCCTCTGCTTGTGTGGCTGTGGCTTAGCACCCCTGCGTACGCCACACATCACACATGTTCACACCACACACACACCACACACTCACACCACACAGTTCGTACCACAGATGCTTGCACACATACCACACACATTCACACCACATGTTCACATCACATGTCACACCACACAGTTCATAGCACATGCACATATACCACACACATTCAGCTATACACGTTCACACCACATGTTCACACCACACGCACACCACACGTTTACACCACACACTCCATACCACACAGTTCATACCACACATGCTTGCATACATACTGCACACGTTCCACCACATGTGTTCACACCACATGCACACATACCACACACTCGCACCACACACACACCACACTACATATACTCCCACACACAGCAGACATGTTCACGTGACACATACACACCTACTCACTGTACCACACCCACACCACACACATTCACACTACACACACACCAAACATGCCACACACACCACACCTCACACACATGCAACTCACACCCCTGTTCTGACCCACTGCACATCTGAGGGAGGTCCCCTCTGGTCTGCTTATCCTTCCCGTCGCTGAGCATCTAATGTTTAACAATGGGCATTATTTCAGGTTGAAGGTCATGATGCTTCCCATATGCAACCATTTTAATTTACAAAATTGGCAGTTTGGTATGTCTCAGACAGTAGAAGGCACAGGCCTTGGGCCTCCTCTTTATGTACCTCTCCATGTAGGCCGTGAGGAGGCCCCTGTTCTCCTGCCTCACAGATGGGCCGCCGGAGCGTGGAGGCCGAGGGACTGGAGGAGGGCCTGCCGGGGAAGTGGTGGGGCCGGCTGGCCCAGGAAGCAGCACTGGGGGTGCTCCCACCACTGCTGCCCAGTGCCGCCGTGGCCGCCCGTTGCCCTGCCTGGGGGCAGACGGTCCTGCGGGAGGCCTGGGGTCTGGCAGCCTGAGGAACCGAAAGCAGTGGGAAGACGGGCCTCCGGCAACGTTGAACCTGCTGGGTGGAGAGCTGGGCTCCCTGGTGTCCCGAGTTGCGGGACATGTATCCGCGTTAATTGTTCAAGCCAGTTGCTAGGAAACAGGGAACAGATTTTTCTAGAGGGAGAGAGTGAGCTCCATAGGAGCCGCTTTGCAAAATGGGATGAACACTTGAGAGCGTTCGAGTTGAAGGAAGAGAACGCATCCACGTGTCCCCGGCCTCCTCACCGTTCAGCGGCCAGCCCTGCAGCGAAGGCCTGAGACTGGGACCCTGTGCTGGGCCGCCATGTAGGAGGTCGTGAGCAGAGTGGCCGCAGCACACTGGCGTGGGCAGCTGACATTCGTGAAGTGTGGTGCCCCTGTGTGCCTCTTCAGGTCCAGGCTGTGCTGGTGTGGAGGGCGCGCTTGGGGGTCAGGCCTGGCCGTGGGGGCTTCCATGCGGCAGCTAGACATCCAGGCTTGCTGAGCTGGAGCGGCCTGCACAGTCTTGTGGGGGGTGTTCGGTGGATGGACGGGGACAGGCAGCAGCTACAGGGACAGCCAGTGGCCAGTGGGGACGCTGTTGGGGGCCAGACGTCGGCTTGTCAGAGACCGCACATGCTCACTGGGTGTGGCTCTGGGGCTGCACATGCTGTTTCCTTGGGAACGGCCACGGAGCTACTTAGACTGTCCTCGTAGCCACAGAAGTGACAGGAAGCAAGGGAAACTAGCGTTCATGTGTATCATGCAGCCATTTGTGTCCCAGATGTGCTGGCGCATCACCAGTACGACCATCATTAAGACATCGCGTGTTCTTCGTTATTCCCGAGACCCTGTGTGTCGTTCCCAATCTCTGCATGGCGCAGGATGGACTTGTCACACCTCACGTGCTCAGTGCCTGTGGCTGATGGGGGCCCACGCAGCCCTGGAGTCTAGCTGTGGCCTTTGTGGGGCTCGGCCCGTGTGGGGTGCTGCCCGCCCTTCAGGGCCCCAGTCTCTGCGGGCACAGCTGTCTTGACTGTGGCTTCCCCTGCGTGGTTCCTGTCTCCCAGCGACGTGTGGGCTTTGGGTGTCCTCTGTGGTTGCCCCCAGACACCCCAGCATTGGGGCACTGGAGGCTCCGCCTCCCACTCCTGCTCCCAGGGGCCGCTGAGCTGACAGCCCAGTGCTCCCACAGGGCAGGGGCCTCCCCCCTGCACGGCCCCAGGGCACCTTTGGGAGGTCCTGTGTGGAGTGTTAGAAATGTGGGCTGGGGCCATGGGACCCCTCCTGGCCTCTGCTCCTCTCTTGCCCTTGGGCCTGGCCCTTCAGCCCCCACACCTCAGTTTCCCCGTTTCCTGTCAGAATTGTGCTCATGCCCATGGCTCAGTGACACTGTGAATGGAACCCCGGGAATACCTTCTTCTGTGTGGGTCGGAGCAGCCAGATATCGGCAGTTCCACATCTCAGCCTAGGATTTTTGCACCATCTGTAGCAGTGATGCCAGAAGGCCCCATAGGGTGTCGGCCTCAGTGAGCAGCCACCAAGGGTGAAGGCGTGGCTAACGTGTTCCCCGCCTTGTTTAGAGGTGGGGGAAGGGCACACATGGGGCAAGCCTGTCCCTTACCTGCGCCAGGTGGGGGCTGCCCACAGCCTGCTGTTGAGCTCCCACACCTGCCCTAACCTGCCGCCATGCTGACTTCTCAGCCCAGGACCCTGGCATCTCCCCCAGCCAGAGTCTGTGTGCAGAAAGTTCCAGAGGCCTCCCCGCAGCCTCCCTGTCAGAGAGTGGAGTAGGGCCTGTGGAGGCGTGCTGCCTGGTAATCCTGGCGACGGAGAGCAAGGTGAGTAGAGGATGGGCCCTGGGACTCAGGCCCACCCACACCAGGTCCCTGCTCCTCCCAGCGCTGGCCCAGACCCCACCCATAACCCAACTCAGGGCCCCCCATCCCAGACCCCGTCCACACCCTACCCAGGCCCCTCCACATCCCTGATCCAGACCCCACCCACAACCCCTACCCAGAGCCTGACCCCACCCACACCCCACTCAGGCTCCTCCCAGATGCCCGCCCCTCCACCCAGACCCTGCCCCAGGCTCCTCACACACCCCGAGCAGGCTCCACCCACATCCTGACCTAGACTCTTCCTACAGTGCAACCCAGGCCCCGCCCACACCCTGATCCAGGCTCCTCCCAACACCTGTAGTCCAGGCTCCTCCCACATGCCAGCCCAGGCCCCTCCCACAGCCTGCCCCGGCTCTGCATAGGCTCCTGCTAGCTGTGCTGAGTCTGGTGTCTTCAGGCTATGCTCCTTTTTCCTTCCAGGGGCCTCACCCCTTTTTCTCCAACGCTGATGGGGGTGGTGGTCACCCGTACCCCAGGCTGTGCCCTGAGAGTGGCGAGTGCGGGCTTGGGGCTCCCCAGCTGCCTCAGGGCTGGCAGCCTCCGGGAGCTTCCTGGTAGCCTTTGTTTTCGTTTATGTCTGTAAGACTGTGGGGGGGACCCCCGCCCTGCGGGAGCCTCTGATCAGTGCCCCTCCTTGGCTCTGCCCACCTTCCAGCCAGGCAGCTCTCCTCATGGGGCTGTGTCCCTGGCCTGTCCCCACTGCAAGCCCCTCCAGACACCGCCCCATGTCTGGGGGCAGAGCCGCCCATGACGGGACCCACATGCGTGTGAAGCCGTGTGCTCTCCTGAGCTTAGGGCAGCAGAGGGCCGGGAGTTGGGGGGCCAGGGTGGTGGGAAGATGGGGGCTGGCGGCTGATGCACCTACTGCCTTGAGCCCAGAGAGCCTTCTAGACTTCTGGACGTGAACTGGTCCCCTTGGGGCCCGGCTGGGTGGTGGGAGGCCCAGGGCCCTGGGTCCCAGTGTCTGTCTGGCACCTGAAGTGCTGGGCAAGCCGCCAGGGAGGGTCCAGCTTTGTTCTGCACGGCAGGTTGCCGCCGAGGAGCTGTGCTCCCTGCTCGGGCAGGTCTTCCAGATCGTGTACACAGAGTCCACCATCGACTTCCTGGACCGAGCCATATTCGACGGGGCCTCCACACCCACCCACCACCTGTCTCTCCACAGCGGTATGTGGGCCCCAGCGGACAGAGGTGCTGTGGGTGTTGACCCGCGGCCTGAGTCAAGGCAGATGGGTTCCCTCGCCTTGGCTAGCCTGGTGGCTTCCTGCGTGGCTGGGGGCCAGGCAACGCTGTCTCCGCCAGTCGCCTCACTTAGCTCCGAACAGAGGGTCAGGAGGGGCTTGGAGCACTGGGGGCTGGAGGGTATGTGTGGGGAGGAACCCCCAGACCTTGCTGCTCTTGGGGTGAGGGCTTCCAGGACCCAGGCTGCCTGGGTGGTGGGCATGTGGAAGCCACCCCCTCTGGTATCTGGGGAACACTTTCGGGTGCACTAGAGCGGGGACGGGCTTCACTCACACATGGCTGGCTCACTTAGGTCCATGTTCTGCACACCAGGAGTGTGCACTTGGTTCCCACCGCCAGGAATGCCCCTTGCTTGTCCCACCCACCCCTCTCAGAGCTCACCAGCTACACAGAGTGGTGTCTGTGTCCTTCATGGTCAGCATCACCCAGACCTGAGGTCATCTGTCCGATGTTTCCCCAGGAGCTGTTGTCCGCTGGGCTCTGCTGATGTGAGAGTCTCAGGCGCTTGGGGGCCGCCTCTGTCCTCGGGGAGTAGCTGTCCCCGCATGGAGCTCCCCGCGTCCAGGCCAGGGTTCAGATCTGCCTCTAGATTGTGGCTCCTGCCCCCCTCGGCAGCTGTGAGATGTGGGGCAGGTCCTCTGACCTCTGGGATTCAGTTTCTCATCCAAAGGAGGCAACACAGCCCCTGGGACGCTGCTGGCGCCCCCAAGTAGCCTTTTCCTTATCCTTGGCCACTGAGCGCCCCCCACCCCCCGCCTCCCCCTTGGTATGTCCTCTGAGACCAGAGCGATGCTGCTCAGGCCCAGATCTGCAGCAGGTGGTATGGCTCACATCTTCTGCCTGGGGCTGGGCTGCTGAACCCCATGCCTCCTGCCCATGTAACCGTGGGCAGAAGCTGCTTCTGACTTTTGCGATCCCCACAGACGACTCTTCCAGCAAGGTGGACGTGAAAGAGCCATACGAGACGGAGGTTGGCACGTTGTGAGTAGCCTGCCTGTTGCCCCTCGACCCTGTCAGCCTCCCCAACTGCCACGCTGGGCGCCCCCTGGCCGTCACCCGGCATCCGCAGTGGAGCCAAGTGCCCATGGCCCCTGTCCTTTCAGCTCCTTCCCTGAGTGCGCGCATGCAGGCGGCGTCTCGCCCTTGTCCTTCTGTATGCAGACGGCGCCCCACGCCAAGACAGTCAGTGAGAGCGAGCTGAGCGCCACTGCCACCGAGCTGCTGCAGGACTACATGCTCACGGTGCGCCCGGCCCAGCCTCTGCCATGGCTGCTCCCCAAGGGGACGGGGGTGGGGAGGTGTGTGGGCTGGGGGAGCAGGGACAGGTGACTCTGCTCATGATCTTACAAGCTTCTCTGTGTGTGCACGTGCCCTGGTGGCACAGCTGGCCCCGGCTCCATGTGGACACACTCCCTTGGGGCACGTTTGTGGTCAGAGGAGGGTTGCTTGGTGGGCTCCTCATGGATCTCAGTCAGGATTCCCCCTCCTGTAGGATGACAGCGGCTACGGGGGGAGAGGATAGTGGCTGCTGTGGGGGGGACTGAGGGGGAGGGAAGAGGACAGCAGCTGTGGGGGGGAGACTGCAGGGGTGGGGAGAGGACAGTGGGTGTTGGGGGGAGGACTGTGGGGGCAGGGAGAGGACAGTGGGTGCTGTGGGGGAGGACTGGGGGGACGGGGGAAAGAACAGTGGTTGTGGGAGTGGGGAGAGGACAGCGGCTGCAGGGTGGTGGGGAGAAGATAACTACTGTGTGGGGGGAGGACAGCAGCTATGGGGACGGAGTGAGGACAGCGGCTGCGGGGGGGAGAAGACAGCAGCTGGGGGGTTTGCGGCGGTGCTGTTCACCCCTTCCCTACCCCCCCCCCCGCCACAGCTGCGCACCAAGCTCTCCTCGCAGGAGATCCAGCAGTTCGCTGCACTGCTGCACGAGTACCGGGATGGGGCCTCAGTGCACGAGTTCTGCATCAACCTGCGCCAGCTCTACGGGGACAGCCGCAAGTTCCTGCTGCTTGGTGAGTCCCTTGGGTGCGGCCGTGTCTGCCCGGAGGGCTCTTCCCAGTGACCAGCAGGACCTGCCTGCGGGAGGCAGACTGAGAGGAAGCTGGGAGCTGTGTGCGGCTAGAGGGATGGCAGGGGTGTGGGTGTGTGTGTGGTGGATGGCTTCCTAAAGGAGGTGGCACTTGAGTGGGTTTTGACGGGTGATTAGGAGTTCTCTGGGTGGAGAAGCAAAGACACCACTACTGGCTCTGAGCTCAGCACCTTAGGTCAGTGCGGTGGGCAGGTGGGATGTGGTCCTGTGTGCCTACCCACGCCCTCTGCGGGGTGATGGGCGCCTGTGTCTTCAGATTGCTGACCTTGAAGAAGGCAGCTAATGATGGTGGCTGCCGAAGGCTCCCGGGCTCTGTCCCCCCAGCACCCCGCCCCCCCGCTGTCTTGGAGGGAGTGGTTTGCCCTTGTTAAAAATGCCACCTGCTGCATATAGGTTGAGCTCTCGCCGACCCCCAGCCTTCCCACCAGAGTCAATTACCCAGTCCCCCGCCCATTCCTTTGTGCCTGGTTCTCATGTAGAAGAGTGGGTGGTACCCCTGGCGGTCAGGCCCCCTCTGTTCTTCGCTGGGAGGCAAGTGAGCGCCCTCCAGCCAGGACTGAGGCAGGGACTAGGGGCCACCTGCTGCAGAGCCAAGATGCCTAGCCCCGCCCCATGGTGCCCGTTGGGGGCAGGGCTGGATGCAGGGTGGGAGCATCAGGCACACCTTGTGTCCTCAGGTCTGCGGCCCTTCATCCCGGAGAAGGACAGCCAGCACTTTGAGAACTTCCTGGAGACCATTGGGGTGAAGGATGGCCGGGGCATCATCACCGATAGCTTCGGCAGGTACCGGCGGGCGCTGAGCTCCGCCTCCACCTCCACCTGCACCGGAAATAGGGCCACGGGCAGCTCAGATGACCAGTCCGCGCCCTCAGAAGGGGACGAATGGGACCGCATGATCTCGGACATCAGCAACGACATTGAGGCTCTGGGCTGCAGCATGGACCGGGACTCCGCCTGACCCTCTACTGTGAAGGACGTGCCCCGGGGCGCTGGTGCATGGGCCTGCCCCCGGAGGGGTCCTGGGGGGGCCCTTTGGTTTTGCACACGACATTTCTGTCGAAACTCTGAGAACTTTGAAGAAGTTTACCGCGATGTGAATGATTCACCTGTGGTCCTGGTGTGCTTGCGATGTAGCGGTCAGGGGGCCCGGGTGTGACCCCCTCCCCCGAGTCCCTAGTTCCTCGGTCTCTCTGCCACCACAGGTGGGCCCCACCACAAACCCGTCCCCCTTTCCGTGCCCTGAGAGCCCGGGGTCCTGCTCTTGGTCTTCCTTGCTGGTCCCCCTTCTGGGCCCGTGCACATAGGAGCCAGTGGGGGTGACTCTGGGGCTGAGGTCTGGAGCCTGCCGCCACGGGTGGCTGACACAGAGAGCCCCTCCTCACCTGGAAGGTGTCTCGGCCCCGGGAGCCCCCTGGCAGCACATGCAGGAGGCCTCAGGCCGAGCGGGGCTGGTGCTGGGGCTGCAGGGAGGGAGGACGGTCCTTGGCTCATAGGGAGGGGGTCAGGGTGGAAGGAGGGATCTCAGACTTGGCCGTGGCCTGGGATGTCCAGGAGCTGGTGGTGGGCCCAGGCAGGCAGAGCTAAGGGGCCGTGCAGTAGAGTTCTAGATGTGTGTGCAAATCAATCTGTTCTGGAAGCTTCTGGAACAGCTGAAGACATCCAGTCAGGACTGGCCTCTCCCCAGCCCACCATGGGTCTACGGAGCCATAGCAGGGGGTGAGGGGAGGGGGCCACAGGATGGGATGTCTAAGTGTCCTGTGTGGACGGCAGGAACGGTTCCCTCCCCTCCGAGGGCCCGCTCCCACGTGGCCCCACTCAGTGGGCATTCTTGGACTTCAGAGAAAACATGGGGAGGATGCATGGCCCTCCAGGGCTGGGTACAGTGAGGGGCCGAGGACTCTGGGGACCAGCCACTGTCCCATCAAGCACCTTTCCACAGCTTGAGCCACAAGCTTTGGGCCACAGCCAGGTGACCACCTACATTCTCTGGGCAGGATTGGCACCCTGGATGTGGATGGGCCCTCCCCCGTCTCCCGGGGACCCCCACCCTTCAGAGACACTTAGGGACAGAGCCCCACCTTCTGTGGACACAGGACCGCCATTCTCTGGGAGATATGGGACAGACCCCATCTTCTGGGTCACGTGGGAACAAAGCCCTGACCTCTGGGAACATGGGGAGAGGACACCTACCCTCTAGGGGCACAGAAAGACCACCACCCTTTAAGAACACAGGGGACAGACCCCCATTCTCTAGGTCACGGGATGAGGACCCCCACCCTCTTGGACATGTAGGCCCAGATCTCTGCACTCTTGGGACATGAGGGGAGGACCCCCACCTTCTGGGGACATGTGGGGACAGAGCCCTGCCCTCTGGGGACAGGGGGAGGCCACCACCTCTGGGACATGAGAGGGTGGGACCACCACCTTTAGGAACATGGGATAGATCTCCACCCTGTGGGACACGGGAGGGGACCCCTCCTCCTCAGGCTCTGCATGGGTGCAGGAAGTATGTCCACCCCTTCCCAAGGCCCACTGGGCCGCGGCCTGCCTGGGGCGTCGGAGCAAGAGCAGAGGCACTGAGGAGACACCCATTTATTGAGCAGCACAGCTGGGGGGCGGGGGGCGGAGCCATGGCGGGCAGGCAGCAGCGGCTACATGGTGAGCTCCTGCAGGAAATGTGGAAAGAAGGGCAGGCTAGAGAAGGGCCGGCAGGGCCAGTGGCAGGGGTCTGGGAGGGGGCCGGCCACTCACCATGATGGCGTTGACGATGTCGCTCTGGTTGTCCCTCAGGGCCCGCACGGCCCTGGCCCTTGACACATTGGCCTGTGCCATCACCAGCTCGATATCCCGGAGCTCCAGCCCAGCTTCGTCCACCTGGCAAGAGGGGGAGCAGGCAGGTTCTGGGGCTGCCTCCACCCTGGGAGAAGCCCCGAGACACCCCCTCCTGGCCCCCCTGCGGCCCTGGGCCTCACCTCCTCCTCCTCTTCTTCCTCTTCCTCTTCCTCACACTCGGGCCTCACCAGTGGCCCAGGCGTGGACTCGGGGACCAGGGCGGAAGGCTCTGTGGGCACTTTGAACTTCTCGGCGGCGGCCCTGTGCACTTGCTGTGACAGGTCCTCGATCTGCAGCAGGGCACACAGCTGTCAGGCAGGCCCCTGCCCCCACCCCCCGCCCCCACCCTCGGCTGGCCAGACCTTGGCCTCCCCGAAGACCACGTAGGTGTCCGAGGCTGGGCTCTTGAAGACATCGGGCTTGGCGATGACAAAGAGGATATTCTTGGACTTCTGGATGGTGATCCTAGTGACACCTTGGATTTGCCGCAGGCCCAGCTTGGACATCGCCTGGGGGCACAACCGGCTCAACCCTGGGCCTTGGCCAGGGGGTCCCAGGCTGGGGTGGGGAGGGGGAGGCGCAGAGGAAGGCAGCACGCTGATGGGGGGAAGGAGGCTCTGCAGCTGACTCAGGGGGACCCTCTAGGCTTTGGGCCCACCCTGCTCCGGGTGTACATGGGTCCCCGGCTATGTACTGGTGTCCGGGACTGCATTTACCCGATGGTTCCTCCAGAGCCGTTTGTCACCCATTGGGTCTGATGGGTCCCCTTATGCGACAGACCCCTCCCAGTGGAGCACCCCAGCCCACCCCCCTGCACCCACCTTTCGGGCCTTCTTCTCACTGCGACTCTGCTTGGCTTTGGTGACGGTCTCCTCACTGCCACCACCTGCTGAGGCCTGGGGATGACAGGGTCTGAGCCCCTGAGGGGATGGTGGGGAGGGGTGCCCTCCCAGGGCTGCACCCTCCCCCCTGCCTGGGCACCTGAGCTGGGCACTGCGCGCCCCGTGCTCCCGACAGGTCCTGCTCCTCTGGTTCTGCTGATGACTCCCCGTGGCTGTCGGAGTGCTGGGCCGATCCCTGGCCAGATCCCGGGGCCCTGGGTGGCGAGTCTGGGGAGGGGTGTGTGTGAAGATGGCCTCTGCCTTCTGACTCGATACCCTGCCCCCCTGCCCCCCCTCCACCCAGGACTGTGCTCTGCCGTCCCCCTCCCCGCCACACCCCCACTCACCTTCCTCCAGGCTGTCCTGGTCATCCTGCTGCTCGGCAGCTGAGGCCGGGAGCCCTCGAGGGCCAGGAGGCACTTGGCAGGGGGCCGAGATCCGCCAGGCCTGGTCTTTGGCATGGGTGTCCCCCGTGGGGGCCGTTTTGGGGCTGAGGAGGAGGGAGTGGGGCAGGAGGCCCGCACAATGCGCAGCCCCCGGAGGCTTTGCGGTTCCTGAGAAGGCAGCTGCTGCCCGCTGGGCTCCTGCTTGTGGTGGCTGGAGACCTGGAGAGCCCAGGGACTCCTTGCTCTCCACCAAGTCTTCCCCGGAGCCCTGGCAAGGGCAGGGGGTAGGGGGTGCCTCTGTGGGGACACGGGGAGCAGAGGGCTCAGGGCCTGGGAGCCTGTCCAGGGGCACGCTGGGCAGGCCTTTGGCAGGGCTCTTCGGGGACTGTGCTGGGGACGAGCTGGGGGCTCTTGGTGCCGCCTGTGCCCACGCCCCACTGCCTGGGCTCAGCACAGGCTCCTGATGCAGAGAGGGTGCTGGTGAGTGGGGGGCAGGCTCTTTGGGGCAGCCCCTGCCCAGTCTGGGCACAGACCTCAGTGGGGACTCTGAGCAGGAGCTGGGCCCCGCCTCCGAGGCCACAGCAATGGGAAACCCAAGCCCTGGGTTTGCGCTTGCCTCCGCTGGGCTCTGGGGTGACACTTGGCCCACCTCGGGGCGAGCAACAGGATGTGCCCTCCTAGCCCCCTGGGGTGCTGGCTCAAGGCCTCCAGCCTGCCGATTCTCACTCCTCGGGGCCTCCTTTGGGGCCAAACAGGGCCCACCTGCATCGGCAGCGTGCACACGAGGCCTGGGATGGGCTCCCTGCTTGGGTGCTGCTTCCTCTCCAGCAGAGGCAGGCGTGGGTGGGGCCGTGGCCTCCGCGGCAGGCTCAGGGCATTCTAGGGCCTCTCTGGCAGGTTCTTGGGGTGCTAGGGCACCCATAGCAGGCTCTGGGTATTCTGGGGCCTCTGTGGTAGGCTCAGGACATTCCAGGGCCTCCATGCCAGGCTCAGAATGTTCCAGAACCTCTGTGGTAGGCTCGGGATGTTCCAGGGTCTCCGTGGCAGCCTTAGGATGTTCTGGAGTCTCTGTGGCAGGCTCTAGGTATTCCAGGGCCTCCGTGGCAGACCCAGCATGTTCTGGGGTCTCCATGGCAGGCTCAAGGGCCTCCGTGGCAGGCTTAGGAAGTTCTGGAGCCTCTGTGGCAGGCCCAGCATGTTCTGGGGCCTCTGTGGCAGGCTCTGAGTGTTCTGGAGCCTCCGAGTGTTCCGGAGTCTCTGTAGCAGGCTTAGGAAGTTCTAGAGCCTCCGTGGCAGGCCCAGCATGTTCTGGGGCCTCTGTGGCAGGCTCTGAGTGTTCTGGAGCCTCCGAGTGTTCCGGAGTCTCTGTAGCAGGCTTAGGAAGTTCTAGAGCCTCCGTGGCAGGCCCAGCATGTTCTGGGGCCTCTGTGGCAGGCTCTGAGTGTTCTGGAGCCTCCGAGTGTTCCGGAGTCTCTGTAGCAGGCTTAGGAAGTTCTAGAGCCTCCGTGGCAGGCCCAGCATGTTCTGGGGCCTCTGTGGCAGGCTCTGAGTGTTCTGGAGCCTCCGAGTGTTCCGGAGTCTCTGTAGCAGGCTTAGGAAGTTCTAGAGCCTCCGTGGCAGGCCCAGCATGTTCTGGGGCCTCTGTGGCAGGCTCTGAGTGTTCTGGAGCCTCCGAGTGTTCCGGAGTCTCTGTAGCAGGCTTAGGAAGTTCTAGAGCCTCCGTGGCAGGCCCAGCATGTTCTGGGGCCTCTGTGGCAGGCTCTGAGTGTTCTGGAGCCTCTGTAGCAGGCTTAGGAAGTTCTAGAGCCTCCGTGGCAGGCCCAGCATGTTCTGGGGCCTCTGTGGCAGGCTCTGAGTGTTCTGGAGCCTCTGTAGCAGGCTTAGGAAATTCTAGAGCCTCCGTGGCAGGCCCAGCATGTTCTGGGGCCTCTGTGGCAGGCTCTGAGTGTTCTGGAGCCTCCATAGCAGGCTTAGGAAGTTCTAGAGCCTCCGTGGCAGGCCCAACATGTTCTGGGGCTTCTGTGGCAGGCTCAGAGTGTTCTGGAGTCTCCGTAGCAGGCTTAGGAAGTTCTAGAGCCTCGGTGGCAGGCTCAGGATGTTCCATGGTCTCAGTGGGAGGCTCACGATGTTCCAGAGTCTCAGTGGCAGCCTCAGGGCATTCTGTGGTCTCCACGGCCAGCTCTGGGGGGTGGTATTCTGGAGCCTCCATGACAGGCTCAGGATGTTCTGGGGTCTCTGTGGCAGGCTCAGAATGTTCCCGAACCTCTGTGACAGAATGTTCCAGAACTGTTGTGACAGGTTCTGAGTGTTCTGGGTCCCTCATGGCAGGCTCAGGATGTGCTGGGGTCTCAGTGGCAGGCTCAGAATGTTCTAGAACCTCTGTGACAGGCTCAGAGTGTTCTGGGGCCCCCATGGCAGGCTCAGGATGTTCCAGAACCTCTGGGACAGGCTCAGAGTGTTCTGGGGCCCCCATGGCAGGCTCAGAATGTTCGGGAACCTCTGTGACAGGCTCAGGGTGTTCTGGGGCTTCTGTGGCAGGCTCAGAATGTTCCAGAACCTCCGTGACAGGCTCAGGGTGTTCTGGGGCCTCCGTGGCAAGCTCAGAATGTTTCAGAACCTCTGTGACAGGCTCAGGGTGTTCTGGGGCTTCTGTGGCAGGCTCGGAATGTTCTGGAACCTCTGTGACAGGCTCAGGGTGTTCTGGGGCCTCCGTGGCAGGCTCAGGATGTTCCAAGTTCTCAGTGACAAGCCCAGGGTGTTCTGGTGTCTCCGAGACAGGCTCACGGTGTTCTGGGGTCTCCATGGCAGGCTCAGGGTATTCTGTGGCCTCTGTGGTAGTCTTGGGGTGCTCCAGGTCCTCCATGGCAACCTTGGGGCATTCTGGGGCCTCCATGGCAGGCTGTGGAAGGTCTGTGGCTTGTATGACAGATTCAGGGCATTCTGGGACCTTCATAGCAGGCTGTGGGGGGTCTGCGGCCTCCGTTTCAGACTTGGAGGTACCTGCAGTTCCGCCTGAGGCCCAGAGTGTCCCAGTGTCTACAGCCGGCTCCACTGGGCTGCCGTCTGGCTGGGCTTGGTTCCAGGCCGGAGGCTCCAGGCCTCCAGTGCAGTTAGTGTCCCTCTTCTCAGGTGCTGGCCTCGGTTCCAAGGTCACTTGTCCTTCCTGCTGGGTTGTGGTGGCCACAGGCTTTATCCCCAGGGTGCAGCCTGCATCTGCAAGCAGGGTCTGAAGGCTGGCTGTAGGGGCACACCCCTGGCTCGAGGGGAGGCCTGTGTTCTGCGGGGGCTGGGGTGGGGCCACAGAGTCAGGGTCCTCGGGTAAGGTGCCATCGATTTCTCCCGGCTGGGACATGGGGCTGGCCGCATTGGCAGACCCCCAGCCTGAGGGGAAGCCTGTGTCCTGCAGGGGCCGGGATGAGGCCACAGAATCAGGGTCCTGGCCTGCTTCCTGCTTCAGGGTCTGTGGAGAGTCTGGGCTTGGCATGAGGCCCCCCTCTTCCAGGATAGTGCAAGGGGCCAGGCCTACGGTGGTGCTGTCCTCTAACGGCAGGGGCCGAGGCATGACCGCGACAGGCACTGGACCCAGCATGGAGCCCAGCTCCTCCCCCCAGGCCTGAGAGGTCATCCCGGTGAGGCCTGGGGCTTCCTGCAGGGCGGGAGGGGCCGAAGCAGCGGCGGCAGCAGGCTGCCCGCCTGAAACAGGGGCCACCCTTCTCTCCCAGGCACCCAGTTCCTGGCCGGCCTCTCCCTCGGAGACCCCAGGAGCGGACCCCCCAGGGCTATCATGCAGCAGCGTGGCAGGCTGCGCATGGGGCTCCCCGCTGTACAGCCTCTCATCATCTGCCCCCGTGTAGGAGGCGGAGTCGGGGTCGGATGAGGCTGCTGAGGTGTCGTCCCGGAAGGCAAAGGCCTCGTCCATGCCCTCAGTGATGGAGAGGTCAGACAGCGACTGCAGGGAGGAGGCGAACGTACTGTCATCCTCTCCCTCCCCGGCTGGGTCCCCTGCAGAGTCCTGGGCATCATCCTCCTCTTCCTCCTCCACCTCCTCCTCCTCCTCCTCCTCAGGGTCCCTCGGCGTCACCTCCACAGCCTCCACCTGAAACAGGAGGCTGCCCCGGAAGGGCAGGAGGGAGGCGGGGATCATGGGGTCATTGGCCAGGAAGTCTAGCTCAAAGAAGTGGCCATCCCGGCCCCAGGAAGAGCTGCTGTCCGCCGAGATGCTGGACTCCGGGGACGGGGGCCCGGGGGGCCCGGTGGGGGGCAGCTCCTGCTCATCTGCCACAGAGCCCGGTGGGGAAAAGCCCCAGCCCGAAGGGACATCCAGCCCTTCGGCCGGGGCCAGCAGGCTCAGGGAACAGGACGGGGACGAGGCCCAACTGTCCCCATCCGCCGTGATGTAAGAGCCCGAGGGCGAGGGCGGCGGCGAGTCCCCCAGCTCGGCCTGGGTGTCCCGGGCGTCCCTGCGGGGCCCCAGGCTGAGGAGCGGGGCACAGGCGGTCTCGGTGGGGGTGGAGGGAGGTGTGAAGTAGGAGTCGGGGTCTGGGGGAGGGCAAGGCACAGGAGGGTCACCCTGAGAACACAACTCGGGGGGTGGGTTCAGGCTGGGGTGCCCACCTTCCCAGTCCCTGAGCTCTGGCAGGGCTGCCCTGGGCGGCGGGAGCGCCCAGCGGGTCTCCTCGCCCATTACGATTCGGGGCTCCAGGGTGGCTGGAGGGGGACCTCCGGTGGGCCGGGCCTCAGGGGGCCCAGGGCTGGGGCCACCTTCTGCGGGGACTGCCCAGGCCAAGGGGGTGCTGCGCAGCCCTGCATCCCAGCTGGCTCCCTCCGGTGGGGGCCGGGCGCCCGGCTTGCTGGGCAGAAACTCGAGGGCCAGGCCGCCAGGTCCGGGGATCAGGGCACAGTGCTCCAGCCGGTCCCCTCTAGGAGTGGCGGCCGCAGCCACATCACAGGACGACTCTGTGGGAAGAGAAGGGTGTGAGGAGGTCGGAGGGTATGGAGGGCAGGGCCGGCAGGAGAGTGACCTGGGGCTGCAGCATCTGGTGCAGGGCGTGGGGTGTGGCACGGCGAGGTGGGGGGGCAGGGGGATGGCCCTGCACACGGATGGGCGCCGGCTTCCCTCTGAGGCTCCGCAAAGGTGAGGCTGGTACCCCTCCCCTCAGGTGCCTGCTGGCTGGCCCCCAGTCCTCAGTCTGCAACCTTTGGCGACCGCCAGCGACAGAGGCCCCGCACTCCACTGCTCTGGGACACTGCAGGCCTCCGGGCTCCTGTAACGCGGGGGTTGGGCCTCTCTTCCTCATCTCTCTCCTCGCTGCCTCCTCCTGAGGCCAGCCTGCCCCACCCGCACCCACTCCCAGAGCTGACAGGGGAAGCAGACTGCTTTGTGCATGTCCTCAGGCTGGGATGAGAGGTGGGGGCAGCGCTGCCATGGGGATGGGCCAGGGAAGGGGGAAGCTGTGAGGGACGGGCCCTGGGGGCTGCAGGGTCGCAGGCCAGCAGGGACTCTCCATGCTGGCAGTGGCTCCTTGGGGCTGGAAGGGCTCCACCCTCCCCCCACACCCCCACCAGAAGCACGTGAGTGGGCCCCCTGGGGTGTTACGGGGGTTGCCTCTAGGGGTTCCTGCCCTACCACACTCACCCATGATCACCCCACAAGCACTTCTGTGCCCCGGCTTTCTGTCTGCAAAGTGGAGTTCCCGCCAGGATTAGAGGGGAAAGCTTTCACGAAGGGGCAGGCCCCATCCCAGACTACCCGCAGGCCTGCAGCCCTGGCTGAGCGCAGGGCCATTGGGCCATACCACTGGGATTCTGAGAAGCGGGTGGCCGGGTCCCCTGCAGTGTGACAAACACCCAGCACCTGGAGATGGGTGTGGTGGGCGGGGTTGGGTGGAGACTGGCTCTTGGCACTGAGCCCAGAGTGGTGCCCTTGCTGACCTGCCGCACTGGGGCAGGGAGAGGGCAGAGCTGGGCCAAGGGGGCAGTGGAAGGGAAGCCAAAGGTCAAAGGTTTTGTAACCATCAAGGTCATCAAGTGGTCTGAGCAGAGCCAGCCTGAGACCCTGGGTCTGGGGAGTCCTAGCCTCCACCTGCTTTACTGGACCCTCGAGGGAGGCCGGGCTGCTGGGCCTAGCACTGGCCACATTCCTGGGTGACTTACATCCATAGCAAGGTGCCCTTGGCTCTCCAGGAGCCACACATGGCTGACCTCCTGCTGGCCACCCTGGCTGGTCCTCCCAGACCCAGGCAGGCCCCCTCAGCCTCCACTGACAGTGCTGACCTGGCCTCTCCAGGAAGGTGGGCCTGCACCCCAGCGCCAGTGCCCCAGACCCTGCTCCCCCAGGACAGCCCGGCGCTTGCGGCGGCCCCTCTGCCTTCCCCAGGTTCAGGCTCCAGTCCTGCTCCGCAGACCCAGGCCCAACCAGTCACTGGCCCTGGGGCAGCCTTCAGGCATCTAAGGGTCAGGGGTCTCTTGGCAGCAGCTGAGACCTGAACCACCCAGGACTGCCTGGCCCAGGGCTCCTGGAAGACAATGGGGTGGCGGCCCAGAGGGCTGGACGGGGGCAGGGAGCCCCAGAGCCAGGGGATGCTCACCGCCTCTCGAGAGGCTTCTGGCTCCTGGAAGACACACCGGTTCCACCTGCCTTTCCCCGCAGTCCTGAGTTGGCGCTTTTGGGCCGTTGGGGGGGTGGGGTGGTCAGAATTCAGGTGCTCGAAAGGGCAGGAAGCCAAAAGGACACGGGAGGGGACGGGGAGGGGGATGGCTGGAGAAGGACGGAGTGGGACGGGAAGGGAGAGGCTGAAGGTGGCTGAGACGCACGCAGGAGCGAGAGCCCGAGACCTCACCTGTGCGCGGCCCGGGCCCGTCCACCTCCGGCAGCAGCAGCTCGGCGCGGGCAGCCTCCCCGGGCATGGCCTGACCGTGCGCCCTTCTCTCGGTGCCGGGTCTGTCCGTGCGTCCGGCCGGCCGAGCCTGCGCGGCCACCGCCCCTCTGCCAGAGGGTGGGGGTCAGCGGATGATGTCAGAGGCGCCCCGCCCGCCCAGCGCCCCGAGTGAGCGAGTGAGCGTGCGCGTGCGCTCCGAGCACTGCGGAGGGCCGTGCAGGGGGGAGGCGGGGGGGGGGAGGGGAGTGCAGCCTCCCCCCTCTCCCGACCAGGCTGCGCCCTCCTTCCATGCCACGCAGCCCCCCCTTTCCCGCACCATCTCCCCCTTTAACCGTAGGAGCCCGACCCCATGGGCCATCACCCCTAAGCCGGGCCTGGCAGAGACAGGGTGGGGACAGTCACCAGAACTCGGGCTGCGGGGGCCTCGGCGCTTTGGGGAAGGTGGCAACGTGGTCCTGGTGCCCGTCCTCCTGCGCCCCGCCCCCGCCCCTTGCCTCTATCGCGGAGGTGAGCTGGGGCCGCAGCTCCAAGCTCATTGGCTGGTCCTCGCAGTCGGTCTCCGTGGCAACCGCCTCCGGGCTCCATGGAAACCAGAGAGCATGGAAACCAGCGGGAGCGCGGGGAAGGCGGCCCCAGGGAAGGGGGAGCGGCAGCCAACCCGGGTTCCCGTCCGGGTCTGCGCGCCCGCAGCTCGGCTCGTGGGCGGAAGAGGAGACACGGCTTCCCTCGCCCTGGCCACACCCCGGGGGCGCAAGTGTTCCCGAGCCTCCCTGAGCTGTGCCATCGCTCGCAACCAGGCCCTCCCGCGCCCGCACCCGCCCAGTGCCAGGCTCCGGCCCGGGGACACAGATGACCATTGTCGCCACCCCAGAACTGGGCGCAGGCAGAGAATCAGAGCGGCCATTGTCGTGGGCAGGGGTGGGGGTAGTGTCCCCCACCCTGTCTGCCGCTGGCGCAATCCCGGACACACCGCGGGGCTGGCTTCCTGCCTGCACAGGGCCCCAGCGGCGCCATGCACACCCTGAGCCCTGCTGCTTGCACCCTGTCGCTTCCTGGCAATGCTGGAAACCCATCCACCAGTCCCCCTGATGGGCGCCCCTTCTCCTCTTCCTCCCCTTTCCCCACACCCTTCATCCTCACCTCCCAGGCTTTCCTAAGGTGCCTTCCAGGGCCCTTCACTCTTCCCCTTGGCAGGCCCCCTCCTGGCTCCCACTGCACTGTCGACTGCCTACCACCTGGACAACAGACTTTCCTGAAACTAAAAGCCCTTCAGCAGTCCTGAGGAGCTTCCAGTAGGCATGGGCTTGTCTCTCTGCTTCTCCAGACTAACCTAGCAAATAATGCAGGAAACACAAGACAACCAAAACAGGGCCTCCTGGGGGGCTCAGTTGGTCAGGTGACCAACTCCTGATCTCCGCTCAGGTCATGATCCCCAGGTTCATGATTTTGAGCCCCCGTCAGGCTCGGCACTGATAGTGCGGACCCTGCTTGGGATTCTCTTTCTCTCTCAAAATAAAAAACATTAAAAAGAGAGAGGGGGGGGGGTGCCTGGGTGGTTCAGTCAGTTAAGCATCTGACTTTGGCTCAGATCATGATCTCACGGTTCGTGGGTTCAAGCCCCACATCGGGCTCTGTGCTTACAGCTCAGAGCCTGGAGCCTACAGTCTGCTTAGGATTCTGTGTGTGTCTCTCTTTCTGCCCCTCCCCTACTCATGTTGTGTCTCTCTCTCAAAAATAAATAAGCATTAAAAAAAAATTAAAACTAAGGAAAAAGAGTATTCAAAGAAATGATAGCTGAAACTTCCCCAATTAGGCAAAGAATAGAAACTTACATCTTCAAGGAGCTGAGCAAATCTCAAAGACAATAGATGCATCTAAGGCAACCCACGTCCAGATGCCTGACCTGTGACATCTGAGCGCTGAGGAGGGAAGGGGCCAAGAGACCCCACGGAGCAGCAAGGAGAACCACCTTGCGCTTCTCCCTCCAGCCAGGGCACCCCCTGCCATGCCCGTATGTCTGCCTTCTCCGTGCTCCTCCGTCTGGAGCTTCAGCATGCTCCCTTATCCTTCATCTTCCCTTTGCTGAGGAACTGCTTTTCCCGGGCACGTACGTGCGGCCAAAGCCAGCACCTTCCTTCTCCAATGACACTTTCTCTCAACACTTGACAAACCTCCTGCCCCCTTGGTGGCTCAGTCGGCTAAGCATCCATCTGAATCTTCGTTTTGACTCTTGATTTCGGCTCACGTTGGTGAGACCGAGCCCTGTGTGGGGCTCTGTGCTGACAGTGTGGAGCCTGCTTGGGATTCTGTTTCCCTCTCGCTCTGCCCCTTCCCGCTTGTGCATGTGCACGCATGTGCGTGCACTCTCTCCCAAAATAATCATTAAGAAAAAGCAAGACAACTACATGTGGTTTATAATAAACTCACTCCAAGTCCAGTGACAGCTGCGCTGGGGAAACCTAACAGACAATTGACACATCATAAGGAGAGTTATCAAACGGGATGACACACAGCCACAAGCAGGGCGGCTGGGTTAATATGCGACTAGGTGCGCTCTGATGCACAGGGGACAGGTGGCGACAGACCAGCGTCCTGTGAGGACGCTTCTCCTACGCTAATGGCTCCACCAGGAAGACACAACAATCCTACTCCCACAGCCACCAGCTCCTGGGACCCCAGTACGCATGCGGCAGAAGCTGGAGGAGCCGCGGGCCGGGAGGCTGGTCTGCAGGAGTGGCTGAGGGCTTGGCTGTCAGGCATCTACGGAATAGCCGCTGGATGTTGGAGGGCCCGCAGGGTGGTCCGCCCAGCAGTGCAGGGTGACCCTGTGTCCAATGTGGGAGCCATTCCCCAAGACAGATCTGACCCCGGACCGTAAGGCAAAAGTCAACATGTCCCAAATAACTGAAATCACAGGGTTTGTACTCAGACCACAAGGGCCTCCCGCAGAAAATCAGCAAGAGGGAAAATCCCCAAACACTGGGAAGAAAACTGCACTTGTAAAGGATCCTGGGTCAGACTACAAGTGCTCCGCACAGGACTGAGGGGCGCCTGGGGGGCTCAGGTGGCTGGCTTCGGCTCAGGTCATGATCTCGCAGTTCGTGGGTTCAAGCCCCCACATCGGGCTCTGAGCTGACAGCTTGGAGCCTGGAACCTGCTTCCAATTCTGTCTTTCTCTTTCTCTCTCTCAAAAAATAAAAACATTAAAAATTGAAATAAAAACACAGAACTGAACTGGATAAAAATAAAAACACGAGACATCAAAGTGTGTGGCCTGTGGCTAAAGCAGCACTGAGAGCCATATTTACAGCCCAACGGAGAAGAGGCGAGGCCTCCAAGTCATTGGAAGCCCCACCTCATGACACTTGGAAAGTAAGAGCAAAATAAAACCACAACAAGCAGAAAGAAGGAAATAATAAAGTCCAGAGCAGAAATCAATGAAATTGGAAACAGGGAAAGAGAAGAGATTAATAAGATACAAAAACCTCTCACGAGGTCAGCAACAGTAAAAAGAGGGAAGACATATATGACCACACAGGAGTGCACTGGGGGCTGGGTGGTTAATTCCAGGTTAGCCTGATGGGGCTGTGGGAAGCCCAGACACCAGGTCAGATATTATTTCTGGGAGTGCCAGAGTGATGCATGAAATCCTGGATGCAAGGGGAAAATTAAAACCTACCAAATTTCAGCAAACAAGATGAAACAGATAATCTGAAAAGTCCTGTAACCATGAAATAAATTTAATGTTTAATTTAAAATCTCACCCAAAGAAACTTTCAGGCCCAGATAATTTCACTGGAGAATTCTACCAAGTATTTAAGTAGAATTAATATCAATTTAAAGCAATCTCTGCCTGGGAAACCTGGGGGGCTCAACTGGTTAAGCGTCTGACTCTTGATTCAGCTCAGGTCATGATCTCATGGTTTGTGGGTTTGAGCTCTACATCGGCCTCTGTGCTGATGGTGCAGAGCCTCCTTGGGATTCTCTGTCTCCCTTTCTCTCTGCCCCATCCCACTGCTCTCTTTCTCTCTCTCAAAAAATAAACTAAAAATTTTTTTAAAAAATGAAGCAATTTCTGCCAGAAAACAGAAGAGGAGGGAATACCTCCTAACTCATTTCCTGAGACAATTTTTTAAATTTATTTTTTTATTTGAGAGAAGGGGGAGAGAGAGAGAGAGAATGAATGAGCTGGGGAGAGGGGCAGAAGGGGAGAGGGACAGAAGGAAGAGAGGGAGAATATTAAGCAGGCTCTATGCCCAGTATGGAGCCCGATATGAGGCTCGGTCTCACAACCCTGGGGTCATGCACTGAGCCCAAATCAAGAGTCAGGCTTAACCGAATGAGCCACCCAGGTGTGCCAGGAAACAAAGTTAAATACTGTTACCAAAGGAAGGCAAGGAGAGCACCAAATACAAACAAAAAAACTACAGAGCAATATAGCCCACGAAGGTAGGCACAAAAATTCTCAATAAAATATTGGCAAATCAAATCCAACAATCACGCACCTATGAGCAGGTGTGCATGGGCGGCTCAGCATGTGAGAAGCAGCCGGTGTAATCCGCCAGGCCTGCAGGCCGGAGAAGGGAACTTATGAGATCGTATCAACCACACAGTCCAACAGCCGTTCTGATTGTAAAAGACTTCTCGGCAAGTTAAAATTAACTCCATAAAAATCATATGCCAAAGTCTTACAGCCAACGCCGTGCTGGGCACCAGAAGACTGAGCGCTGTCTGAGGCTAGATCAGGACAAGGGCCTCCGCTCCTGTCCCTGTTTTCATCACGAGGCTGCAGATCTAGCCCCACAGTGGGCCAGGAAAAGAAGTTAAGGCAGACAGACTTCCAGAATGGAAGCATGAGGGGCTCCACTGGCCAACTTGCCCGCAAAACTGGTGGAAATCATATGACTAACAGTTGAAGCTCCTGGAAGTGGACTGATGCGCAAGTCAAACGGCGTTCAAGACAGTCAGTGCCAAGTTAGCAGGAAAGCAGAGTTCGTGGTATTTGGGCTCCCTTTCACCAAGGCAGAGAATCCAGCTGACGGGGGCTCAGCATTTCCTGTCCTGAACT